CTTGTCTTTCTTTCTTTATGATTTCGTGTTTAGCAAAGTTTGAAACGTAAATGTGATTTACACATTGAGCGCAGACACCAAAATATTAAACATATACACAAAGTTTAGTCAAAATCTATAACTTAATTAATGTTTCTTAATGTAACTTAATAAGTCACAAGGCAAAAATCACTTTGTTGTAAAGAGTGTTCCAATAACTTGGACTAATTTTAAATGTGAATTAAGTTTAAGCGTCTAATTATTTTTTCCTTTTTCTTTCAGATTTGGCGGACAATTGGGCGATAATATTTTTCACACATAATTGCCATGACTTAAATAACATGATCCAATAGAGAAATAAATAATTTTTCCCAATAACATTGATTTATTTACTGCTAACTTTGATCCGTTTTAATGAAACACCCTTACATATAATCCGTTTTAATGAAACACCCTGTATTAATCTGTTGATTGGTGAGGGTTGTAAAACTCTTATTATAGCTCTTGTTTTTACTATGGTTCGAACTTTGATCACAAACCCTAATATTAAGCACACAACTAGACTCATGCAATAATTTTAAATGTTAATTAAGTTTAAACGTTTAATTATTATTTTTTTCTTTTTCTTTCAGATTTGGCGGACATTTGGGTGATATTATTTTTCACACATAATTTGCAATGACATTCACAAACTTCAAACTTATAAAGGTCTTAGTCATGTTTATCCGTATGTTCTGCTATCAAAGCTGTTTTGGTATCTTAATCACAGTCTCTATCTTTTGCTCTTGACTTCAATATGTCCTGTGGGTGTCAGATTCTAGAGGCCGTCTTTCCTCACTATTTAGACCATAAATTCTATTTGTCGTTTTATAAATCTAATTACGAGTGTTCTTTTTTATTTTCACTTTCTTTAAATCTTCCTCTTTGGTCACGTCCATATTATTCTGATCATCCTTCTGTAGAAGCACATTTATTCTGCCGCAATTGTCATCTACATCTCAGGAAATTAAACCGTACTCAATGTTATGTAGGTAGCCCGTTATTTCATATCAAGCCAGATCTCTTTGTTTCTAACGAAACTTCTTTCATTATTCTAATGTATATTTACTTTTCTTTAAATTTCACATTCTGTTAAAACATTTTTCCAGTTATTTATGGCCAAAGATGCTTTCCAAAAGCTAAGCAGAGTATTAAGAAACAAAAACTATTCGTTAGAAACAAAAAAAAGAGAGCACTTTACTCTTAAGTGATATCAGTCGTTATGTATGGCAGAGAAAGATGGAAAATCACAACAAAGATGAAGAAGAGACTGAAAGCAACTGAATTGTGGTTCTACAGAAAGATGCTGAGGATACCATGGACCGAACACGTGAGCAACATCGTGGCTTTAGAAAAAAAATAAAAACAAAAGAAAACTTATACTTAACACCATGAACAAATTTCTGGGGTACGTAATGATGAAAGACGGCTTGGAAAACCTGATACTCACAGGACAGATTAAGGGAAAGAGGTACGAGGAAAACAACGCACAACATACTCGACGATCTTGAGGAAATGGATGGCAGAATAGTGTTTAGAATTAAAGAAAAGACAGAATTTATTTACCACAGTGAAGGAGAGGAAAGTATGGAGAGACATGATCTCGTATGCCCTGAGGGTACACGTCACATAAAGAAGAAGGGCTGCGTAATCTATGGCTCATCACAAGACGGGTCTCACTACAAAAAAGATTCAAGGTAATTTTTTGCAGCAGATACCTCAGCTATTTTCACTCGAGAAGACAATATGCGCATAGATATACCTTAGAAAAGGGTGGGGTAAGTTTGTTTTTCTTGATGAGGTTGAGCAAATAGATGATAGAACAGGGTTTAGGAGAATTAACAAAAAGAGAAAACCTATTAAGGACTACAAGAAACAGGAAGATGTGGAGGGCCATGGTCGCTTACTTCCTGAAGGGGTACGGAACATAAAAGAAAAATTTGCAGTTAACACTTGAGTTTTTTTCCCTCTTTCTGGGAAGCATAATTTTTGTTTTCTTATAACGGATTCTTAGTCCTTTCTTTGCGATTGATTTTACTTCTTTCTCTAGGGGTTCCTGTCGTGGCATTTTCTGTGTTTGCTATCAACAGAGAAATAACTCCGCATGTTATGTGGTTACGATTGGGCTCACCAGTAATAAATTCTGCTAGGATTGACGCATTGTACAGGTGAAATAAATCCAGTAAGGAGACCAAGCATTCTTGTGTCACAACTTGTTGCCGTAGACAGGCGGATAAATACCAAGAAGAATAATCCTTGCCATACAATACTTTCTAAAGTTGTATAATTGCACACTGCTTTATAAATAAGAACTCCCTGTTCCCGAAGATAGGACGATAGGTTCGAGAAACACCTGGGGATGGTTGGAGGGACAATTACTAAAACTCTGTGTTCATAATATGTAAAACTAGAGTACTAGTTTGAATAAATGAATGTTAAAAGAATTAATGACAAAGCAGAAATAGATGTTATTTTGGCTTGTTACTTTCATGTCATGAATCTACTTTGGTATGCGCTTTAGATTGTGATGTAAAACAAGAAAAGTTTTTTAGCATTTTTGCTGATGTACGTGTTGTTTATCGCAAGAATATAATTAATAGAATATTTATTTAATATTTTAATTACATTTTCTTTATAATATATATATACTCGGCTCTCCCGTCGAATTCGACGTATGAGGGTCAAGAAGATCAGTTCTCAGGAAACCGACAGCCCGACAACAGCACATGAGATTTGATTATAGTGGTGAAGGTTTCATGCAGGACCATCCACACTTTTTGAAGGGCCGAATACAGAGACCTGGTGCACTACGTGCCACAAGGTCCCCAAACGACCCTCCACAGGTTTTTGAATTCAGAGTTGTCCTTCTCCTAGACCGTCCAAGGCTATAGAACCCAGTCTGTTCTGCTATTTACCTATAGCTGGAGGTAGAAGAAGAGGATTCACACCTTTCCCAAGGGTATTAGCGCCGTAAGTGAATGTAATGGTATTTATCAATCCACCCACGGGGATCGAATGGATTCCACTGGAATCCGAACTTGGCTCTGTGTGTGTATGTGTTTTACTATGTAGATATTATTTCAAATCAAAATTTGTACGGTGTATACATTTTTTTAGCCGATGTACATGTTGTTTATCGCTAGTATTTACATAAAATTCAATTTTAATACCTTAATTACTGTATTTTCCGGCTTGCAAGATGCTGCGGCTTGGAAGAGGCACCGTAATATTGGAAAGAAATTTCTAAGAAAAAAAGTAATTCTCATACAACACATTCACCATGCGTCCCTCACATACTGGCAGCACGTATTGTTTGCATTAAGCACTCGTCCGATTTTGTTTGTCTGGTAATGACATACTAATCAAGAGCAGAAAGATTCCCGCCGTTTCTAGTAACAAGAGCATGTTTAAGCTTGTGGCTCGGTTTCAGGAAGGTTTGGAAATATATTTAACAGCTAAGTACTGAGGTTACATCATGTAAAATGTAGAATTAGATAGCTAGCATTATAATGTAATGACTAAACATACAAATCCAATATTCTATCTTTCAAGCCAATTAGGTGACCGCCCAAGCTTATTTGAGCCTGGGCCTTGCCTTACATCCGTCTTGGAAAGCGTACACGTATTTTTTCAGGGTATTTTGAGGAAAAGCTGGAAAATACGGTACATTTTCTTTATGTTATACATATGTTATAATATGTTTTACTATGGAGATAACGTTCCAAACCAAAATTTCTTCCGTGTAGACATTTTTCCTTGTGGATCACAAACCAACGAAACACCGTAGAAATATTTGTACGTCCAATGGGTTTCGTCCTTTAGGGCTTTAAACACTAAAGGAATGTTTATGTTGATGCACGAAAGAAAGGGACGCCGAAATTATAACCATTTAAATTTTAAAATAGAAGATCTGCCAAGACTTTAATTAAAAGAGAAATCTGTTTACTTAGGCGAAATTATATAGAAAATGCTTTCATCGCTAGATCAACCAAAATCAGTTTTCCCTCATGGTTCTTATTATATTTCATCTTTCTTGAAAGATCGTCCTAGTGAAATTAAAATGGGAGAATTTTTCAAGAATTTTGAAATTCGCTAGAACTTAAAATTTTGATTTAATAATAATAATAATTGTTCATATGAAATATACAAATGCTTTTCTCGTAAAATATATTTGTAAAAAACTGTTGGGTACCATTGACACTAAAAAGAAAAATGGTCCGTAATAACAGGATTAGACAACGTATTTGTTTGTCTTATTTGTTTTCTTAGCGAAGTGGTTTCATTAAAAATTCTTCTCAGACATAAGATAAAAATCACAAATATGAACGTTGTTATTAAAAATCCTAAATATACTCACATGTTTACCTTTATTTGTAGACACTTGAATTTCTTCCATCAAATCCACTTTGTTGCCAATTAGTATAATCGGTACAAGTTCCAAACTTCTATGGCTGTCTGAGATTTCCTGGTAAAAGAAAAGTGAACTGCCATTTAAAAATACGTATATTTTTATTTTAACTCAAAGTCGTAAACCAATTAACAGCAAAACATAAACATCCCTTTTGTCTGTTAAATTCCTAAATGACGAACCGGGTCACACGAAAAATATTTTCCACTTTGTCATTATTTTACCTAACATCCTCCCATAAATCAGTGTATAATAATGATAATTACACTTCGCAAATATGGCTTATTTACATATCAGGAAGAGGCAGCTGAAGTTTCTGGGACACATAATGAGGAAGGAGGGCCAGGAGAATCTGTTACTCACGGGTCGAATACAGGGAAAGAGAGACAATGGAAAACAACGCGTGACATACATGGCGGGCTTAAGCAAATGGATGACAGAACGTGGTCTCAGGGAGGAAGCAGAGGGAAGGGACTTGTTGAGAGCTGCAAGAGATAGAGGGAGGTGGAGAGCCATGATCGCCTATGTCCAGAAAGAATAGGCACATAAAAAGAAAGAAATACAAATCACGTTAAAATACCGATCCCCTTATGAACACCGAAGTTAAGCAACGTCGAACCTGTTCAGTACCAAGATGGTTGACCGCTTGGAAATACCAGGTCTTACAAGCTTGGATGTGCGCGTTGTCTAATAGATAATGGCTCGGAATTCTTAATCCGAGAGCCGAGTTCCAATTCCAGTTGGGTTCGTTATATTCATTTATGCACTGATACCCTTGGGAAAGGCATGAACCCACCTCTTACCACCAGCACCACCAGCTACTAGTAAGCCTTGTATCAGTAAAACCAATATTATTTTGAACAAGAGAAATAAATAAATGAAAATTGCATACAAAATATTTAGATATCGGTATTAACTAACACATAGATATGACATAGATATTAATAATTAGGTATAGATTTGACACGTAGATATTAATAGATTTGACACTTAGATATTAATAGATAGGTACAGATATCACACACACACACACACACACACATATATATATATATATATATATATATATATATATATATATAGGTATAGATATGACACGTAGATATTAATAGATAGGTAGAGATATGACACGTAGATATTAATAGATAAGTATAGATTTGACACATATATAAATAGATAGGTAGAGATATGACACATATATTGTTAGATAGGTAGAGATATGACATAGATATTTAATAGATAGGTATAGATATGACACATATATATATATATTATTAGATAGGTATAGATATGACATAGATATGAATAGATAGTTATAGATATGACACACACACACACACACACATATATATATATATATATATATATATATATAAAATAGATAGATATAGATATGACACGTAGATATTAATAGATAGGTATAGATTTGACGCATATATATATATATATATATATAAATAGATAGGTATAGATTTGACAAGTATATATTAAGAGATAGGTATATATATGACGTAGATATTAATAGATAGGTATAGATATGACACGTAGATATTAATAGATAGGTATAGATACTAACACATTAATATGACGCTAAACAAAAACGATGTTTCCTTTTTGTTGTTGTTCTTGTTTTTTTTTAAGTTTTTAAATTCTCAAAAATATAATTAGACAATCCGCAAAATTACTTCAGACTAGGTAGGTTTAGAAAGGTAAGTACTGTGCTAGAGGAAGTATAGAAGGGGCGTATGTAATGCGATATGAATGGCAGAAACGAGAATATTTAACGTAAATTATCAACAAGCGATTTTGAATAAAGCTTCCTGAGGAGAAAAAAAAACAGTTAATGATTGCCATTAATTAACTCGAAAATATTATTCCTCACCTTCAAAGATAAATTTTCAAATTGCTGTAATTACCATTGATACGAGTGCTTTTATTTCCGACCTGGAAAAATTGAGCATCGGATAAGTTACCCGCTGAGAATATTTCATCATTTAGTCACATCTCTCTTTCAGTCACGAAAATGTCAAGTTTTATCATGTGGTAAATAATGAAAAATAATACTGGATACTCAAAACGAAACTTCAAGCGCTGTTATGGCAAGGCTTTAGAGCAAGATAAATACACCGGTTTTGTATGCCTGTATGGAATATTTTGCAGTTTTATCGAACTGACGTTGACTGTAAATTCATAATTGATTACATTTCTAAAGTGAAACTCGCTCAGGCATTTGAAATGTTAATGTACAAAATAAGTTAATTTTGGTGTTCCCCAGACGGCTATCCATTTCAGTCGATATTTTGAATATCAGGAAGAAACGTCCCCTATATTACTCATCTTTTGTACTGTCAAAAGGCAAAGAGAAAAAGGCAACTAGTTTTCAACCCTAGGGAGGAGAAAGAAAAGAAAAATGCACACTAAAATTGGTAGAAAAAATTGGAATAAGAATATAGATTGTGAAGTTTTGTATATTAAAATTAACATATACCTAATAGTGAATCAATACTTTTTCTAGTCAATTACGGAAAAATTAGGTGATTAACTAATTTAAAATGTTCACTATAAAACAGTCTATCTATATGAATAACATTCACTATTGTATTCAGTGTGTTGAAAAGGAAGGCGAATTTGTTGGAAAAGAAATATTTGTCGTATAAAAGAAATTCATTCTTCATTAGGTTACGGAATTATTGATCTCTCTATATATATACATCTATCTAAGTATAAAACTATATATATATATATATATATATATATATATGTGTGTATGTATGTATTATACTACAAAAATAGGTGCTGAAGACAACTGGCAAAAGGTTGTGCCGATTTGAATTAGACGAAAACCACATGAGATAATTTGGTATTTTTGCTGTAAAAATACACATGCTTTGTTATAATATAGACTTGCGCTCTTTCGTGGATCAATTTTAATATTTGATGTTACTAGGATCCATCTGGATTATGTAACAACGGATCTATTACCTGTAATATATATGTGTGTCTGTGTTTGTGTGTACGTAAGTCTGCGTGCATATATATATATATATATATATATATATATATATATATATATATATATATATATATATATATATTACAATGAATCATTCATACAAAAAGTAGATTAGTAAAGTTAATGATATAAAATGGAGAAATGCTTTCGCAAACAAAGTTTTAAAGGTGCATTAATCTAAGGGATTTCGTCTTTTTATATCATTAACTTTAATAATCTACACTTTTATAAATGATATATTGTAATATAAATAGAACTGAACCACATATTTGATATATATATATATATATATATATATATATATATATATATATATATATATATATATATATAAATGCTTGCACAGATAGATAGATAGATAGATAGATAGATAGATAGATAGATAGATAGATAGATATTGGGTGTATTTGGACATCAATTTTCATTCACACAAGTTGGGTTAAAAGCAAGTTAATGTCCTTTGTTAAATAATTATTGCTTTCTTTTCTATATTCCGAAACGTTTTACTGGATTCTGGTGAATATTGGAATATAAGTTGTCCGATGTGAGTGTGTGTTTGTTTGTATGTGTGTGTGTGTATGTATGTGTACATCAGTCAACCCAAGATTAATGATGAAAAAAGACAAAAACACAAATATCATTCATTTCCAACTTCATACAAAGATTCTTTAGTAATAACTAATTCAGTGAGAATTTCAGATCAAAATTTAGCTGTGTCAGATTACGAACTTATTGATGGATGCACCCTCGTTTGTTTATCTATATATATATATATATATATATATATATATATATATATATAAATGGGGGTGTATATATATATATATATATATATGTGTGTGTGTGTGTGTGTGTGTGTTTGTGTGTGTTCTTGTTCTTGTGTGTCTATCTCTATGTATGTACGCGTGGTCTTGAATGTGGCATTGGAGTGTATCCAGTAACTCTGTGCCATCAGAGTAGTTCTGAAGCTCTGGGGAATTTGAAGTCAAACTTAACTTGCCATTACTCTCGGGTACACTACTCCGGACTGGTAGTAACAGTTTGGCTTCGATCTATGGGTCAGATAGATCTCTCTATGGAAAACGTGGCCGGTGACCTGCTTCGTTCATTGGCAGACATACCTCTAGTCTTTGTTAAGTCAACTATCAAGGAGGAGGCATTCTGGTATAAAACCAACGACTACGATTGCGTTCATTAACGCGTCCTTTGCGTGTAAATGTTGTCACTATGTAGAGAGTGAATTATCGGCGTGGAATTAGTGATCTGAGATCAAATCTCGACCTATATACCTGCTTTCGCAGGAAAGACATAGACTCATTAGTCATTCTCATCCAACCCACTAGTTATAGATCATATAACAGTGTAGACAAGTCTGCGTAACCTTGGTTGGTGCCTAGTCTAGGAGATACAAATTACTGAATTAAAAAAATCGTGAAAAGGCAACGTAAAATTCTTTTCTAAAAAGAAATGTTAATTCGCACAAAGTAAATAAAAAAAAAATCAGTTAAGATGTGCTGTGGGGTGGTAGTTTGTAATGAGAAATCTGAAAGCCATGATCCAATTCCAGTTGGGTTCGTTACATTCATTTACTCACAAATACCCTTAGAAAAGATATGAATCCATCACTTCTCCTCCATCTATGGGTTGAATAGCAAGACAGACTATAACCAGTTTACAGCAGAAAGAAACGGCAACATACTTCGGGAAAATCTTCTGCCCAGTCCGTCATGAAGCGATGTGTAAATTGTCGTCAATTTATATTTTTAATTATACGCATGCGTGTTGTTTAATTTTTTGACAGCGCAGTTTTGTAGGCTCAGTTGTATACCGCTTGGCATAAAATGAGCACCATGATGCAATTCACTCCGTCAGGAATATGGAAACGGCATACTGCACCGCTTGGGATTCGCACCGGAAGTTCCAATACGAACATTTCAGTGTTTGAGTGTCAATCTGAGGATAGTTCAGAGGATTGGGAAACGGTGATTACGAAGGTATGACAGCTAGGAAAACTCACTCTGATCGTTCTGATAAAAGAACCCCTGAATTTGTAAGTGAGAACCTCAGATTCAACACGGAGATCTAGATCAAATGTCTTGAGGAGGTAGTGCTGACCTGGGTCAAGATGGTGGCTGTTTGATGACCCTATATCTGGTAATAGAACTCTGCACCATGCGACATAAGCAGGAGAACCCAATCAGTTTCTGCGACCACATCACTGCTTACATATGCTCACCTAACTCCCCAGACTGCAGTCCCCTTGATTATTATTTGCTGGGCGCAGTCGAGCGAGAGACCAACAAAACTTCTTGTAACGCGAAAGATGAGCTGAAGGCAAGGATTATGGCAGCATTCACCAATTTAAACAAAGAGACCATTTAGTCGAGATTCAGGAGATTGCGAAATCGTCTGGGTACTGTAGTCAAAGCCAATGACAATTTTATTGAATAAATTTACTCTTTTGTTTTTTTAAGATATTTTTTGTGTAATTTGGTAAATATATCTTTTAAACTGAGATGTCAGTATTATTTTTATTTTTGTGTAATATAGATGATAATTTATCCATCGCAACTAATATATATATCGGGGAAATGATATATATATATATTTTTATATACCAGAACTATATTAAGAAAATGAATGACTATGTG